GTGAAGCAAAGCTTATTGAAAGGTGCAAAGGCATGCAAATTGGAATTCTGTGAGCATTGTGTGTTGGGTAAGCAAACTAGAGTAAAATTTGGCACTGCTATTCACCACACTAAAGGCATTCTTGATTATGTTCACACTGATGTTTGGGGACCTTCCAAGAATGCATCTTGGGGAGGTAGCCATTATTTTGTCTCCTTTGTTGATGACTTCTCTAGAAGAATATGGGTGTGTACACCATGAAGCGTAAAGATGAAGTCTTGAAGATATTCCTGAAGTGGAAAAAGATGATTGAAATGCAAAGCGGTCGAAAGATCAAGACTCTCAGATCAGACAATGGGGGTGAATATAAGTCTGATCATTTCTTGAAAGTTTGTCAAGATGAGGGTATTGTGAGGCACTTCACGGTTAGGGAGACACCGCAACAGAATGGGGTGGCGGAGCGCATGAACCGTACTTTACTTGAGAAAGTTCGGTGTATGTTGTCTAATGCTGGATTAGGCAAGGCATTTTGGGCTGAGGCAATTACTTATGCAAGCCATCTCATTAATCGATTGCCAGCTGTTGCGAACGAGGGCAAAACGCCCATGGAGGTATGGTCTGGTAAACCTTGTACTGATTACAAGTTTTTACACATATTTGGTTGTCCTGCTTACTATCATGTCAGAGAAGGCAAGTTGGATCCAAGAGCAAAGAAAGCTCTATTTATGGGCTTTAGCACTGGCGTGAAGGGATACCGACTTTGGTGTCCAGATGAGAAGAAATTTGTTGTAAGCAGAGATGTGACTTTTGATGAGGCTGCTATGGTTAATAAGAACAAGCATGAAGGCGAAACTGAAGCGACCGAGACCATGAGTAGCTCAAAGCAGGTGGAGTTACTGAAGACTCCAGTTGTTCCAGTAAGGTCTGATGTTTCAAACACTAGTCCTACAGTTAATTCTGATGATGAGGACGAGGATGATGAAGAGGAGGCACCTACCCAAGAGCCTCCACAGCAACAAGACTATATTGCAACCAGAAGATCGAGAAGGGAAATCCGAAAGCCTGCTCGATTTACTGATATTGTGGCATATGCACTTCCCGTTATTGAAGATGATATTCCATCCGCCTACAAAGAAGCTGTCATGAGTTCAGAGTGCGAGTTGTGGAAGAAATCTATGGATGAGGAGATGAAATCTCTTCATAAAAATGAGACTTGGAAGCTGGTTCAGTTACCAAAGGGGAAGAAAGCAATTGGTTGTAAATGGGTGTATGCCAAAAAGATGGAATCTTTGGGAAAAGACAATGTAAGATTCAAAGCCAGATTGGTAGCTAAAGGCTACGCTCAGAAGGAAGGCATTGACTACAATGAGGTATTTTCTCCTGTAGTAAAACATTCTTCTATTCGTATTTTGTTGGCTTTGGTTGTGCAGTTTGACCTTGAGTTAGCCCAACTTGATGTCAAGACTGCGTTCTTACATGGTGATTTGGAGGGAGATATTCTTCTTCAGAAGATTGGGACCGCTGACAATCCTGCGGATATGTTAACGAAGCCAGTTTCGTTGCACAAGTTTAAGCACTGCTTAGACTTGATTGGCGTTTGTAAAATTTGTTGATTGCCCCATGGGGGATTGGGAGATGACTATTTGGAGTTCTACTTAGAGGGTTTGAGTCAAGGTGGAGATTGTTGATTATTGACTCAAACATGTAGTCAAAGTCCAAATCTTTGGGCTACTTTTGTGTCAAAATTGTTGGATGGCATGCTACATGTGGGAAACCAAAATTGGATGCACTTATGCCTAATTCTTTTTGACTTGATGTTAGGCCTTTGGCCATTGATGTCTTTGAGAAGCTTTTCTTTGGCTATAAAAGGAGAGCAAGGTGTAGCTCATAAGCATGGAGAAGTAGAGGAGAACAAGGAAGAGAGAAAAATAGCAAGAAGCCATTCGGCATAGAGAAGAATTTTCTCAAATTGTCTTGCTTTGTATTTTTGGTTTTCTCTTCATATTGTAAGTGTGAGAGCTTGGGTTATTTGGGTCTTTGGGAAATTGAGTGATAAACACTATTGTATGTTCTCATTGATTATAGTGGAATACTCTGTTGTCTCCAAACTGGATGTAGGCATTGCCGAACCAGTATAAATCTTGGTGTTCTTGTTGATAGTGGTTTTATTCTGTTCTGTCTTACTATTCACTTACAGTTGAATGCCGCTTCCGCACAACAGTAGTACTAGCGCAAATATATAAGAGCGCTCAAATTTTAATTAGCGACACATATTTCTTATAATCTAAACTGATGACTATTTAGGTTATATATCATTGACAAACCAATACCACAAAAATTCAATGAAATTGGAAATCGATTAGTTATCTGACTGTAAACTGATAAATAGAGAAACACAATGTTGTCCACAAACAACGAAATATTCACAACAATAATTAAAAAGTAAAACAATTTCCGATTTGAGTGAATTTTTACAATAACGATTTATGAACGGTGACTTAAAACAATGAACAATTCAAATCATGAACTTACTTTGTAGAGCCAAGCCACACTAATAGTTAGTGCAATGTTAAATTATTAAATGATTATTGCTTGATGTCTATATATATATGGAGAGAGAGAGAGAGAGAGAGAGAGAGAGAGAGAGAGAGAGAGATGTAGTCAATTCTTTGTATTAATAAGATACAAGTTTTGAAGCCTAATCCCACCCTCATGGACTCAACGTAGGGTGGAAAGAAATACAGAGATCGACAAGATTGTATTATTTCTTTTTGTATATACACATAAAAACATAAATCCACGGAACTCTGTTGACATCTGCGTTGAAACATGTATGTTTCTCTCTTCTCTTATTTTCATTTGGTTGACTCTGATCAATTCTTAATTAATATATGGCATAAGTTCCATGAGAGTGTCCAAAGTTGTATCCAATTGTCTCCTACTACTATGAAGGCCGGGAATTGTGTGATTATTTTTTTTCGCACACTTTCAACGCGTCTTTCCCTCGAGAGGTACAAGTTTGCACCACTATTAACCACAATTAGTATTACTGTTGTCTTCAACTTAACAATATTATGTCTAATATATTAAGATGAGGGAGGCTCAATGAACCTATTCAATTTCGGGTTTTATGTTTAGGAAATTAATAGAAACCCCATGTAAGAACAATTTTTCTTCATTCACCACCTAATTTCCATTTATTTTCCGGTTCTTAATTTGAAATTTTGGCATCCAATATAGTGTTGATAAATACCCAAATAAAATACATAGGTACCTTAAAAAAATACACAAGTCTGAAAAATTTGAGTAGAAACACTAAAAAAACTAGTGGTCATTGAGGGTTTCTAGAGTAGAACTCTTTTATCCCTCAAAAGACACAACTGGGGATTGAGGATTTTGGAGAAATTGTCTAAGACAGAGTTTCTCTTCAGTTTTATTTTATTTTCTCAATTTTATTATTAAAGAAGTTGAGATTCCACCATAAAAGTAATTGATAATATAAGAAGTAACTCAAACTTATACTTATTAGTCCATGCAAAATTCATTCCCCTATATATAAATTTACTTATTCCTTTTCAGGCTAGTTAAATGAGTTAATGAATATTCATGAACTAAATAATTTAGTTTATTTTTTCTTCCAAACATATTTGTTTTTAGTCAAAATAGGGCAGGAATTCAAATTTTGAATAAAAGAAGAAAAAAGGCATCCACACGCTGGAGTCACGGGATGATTATATATGATTCGTGATAAGATAGAAGAGACAACAATTACGACAATAGTAGAAAGCCCTATCATCATCCATCAATTTCCTAATAATTACATAAGGTTAAGTTATATATTGTCGAATATTTCATAATATATATCATTTCTGCTCCTGCCTCTGGTTGAGCAGTATACTATTTACACGGCCAGAACCCAATGGCAACACACATGCATATGCTCGTAAATTAAATTAATTAAATGTCTAAATTCAATGTAAAATATCTAATTATATATCTATCATCAGTAGCTGTGAAGTTAAATATTCAAATACCAGCTTAAGGATCGAATTAGAATGGAAAGAATTGTTGGAAAACGCCAGGGAGCACTACAAGAAAATAGCTCATTTACCACATTAATTTTACCACGGACATTATGTGCCCGTTATAAAAAGTGACCATTTACCACGGACTTAGTCAGCATGTTATAGATAACAGTGTTTTACAACAGGCAAGTAATGGCCCGTTATAATAAAATAATTTACTACCACGGTCTTAATTAGCACGTTATGAAAATATTAAACCACCACAGGTATTAACCGTTGTCCATATTATTAGTAATTACACCACATTGTTTTATCTACCACAGACATTAAATGTGGTGCAATTATGCACACTATTTAAAAAAAAAAAATTCAGAAGGCAGGATTAAATTTTTTTCGAAAATTTCCCAAAATTTGAAATCTTTCAAATTTCACACTATTAGAAAATAGACGCGGGGAGTTGGTATAAAAGTTAAAATTAAGCGGTTTCGTCCACTCCTCTCCCTCTCCCTCGCTGCAAATAGATAGATCTTCCGGTGGAAATCGAATATGTCGTCAAAATCAAAGCCCTCAGGTTTTTTTTCTTCCCCTTCTAATTGTCACCTTTAATTCATGTTTCTGATGCATAAATCCATCAGTTTTTCCTGTAATTCTCTTTCGGAACCCCCAGCAGAGGAAACACTCTTACTTTCATCTCTCTCTCCGATCTTTAGGTATTATCGCAATTCCTCTCTCAATTGGTGCTATAGTATTTCTTAAAATTATTAGATTTAGGGTTGGGCATACTAATTTAAGGATTATGATTGTACTTTGCGTTTTGATTTTGTTTGAGATAGTTCCGTGTTTGGTTTAGATGTAAGGCCTGAAGCTTTTCAAGATGAATCTTAACCAAGGAGGACTTGAAAAGCATTTTGAGGTAAGATCGTTTGATTGCTGTACTGATTGTTTGAGGTCTAATTCTAGAAATCGTCATGAATTTTTTATTTTTTGATTGGTGCCTTTTGAGGGTTTTGTGAGGGTGGGGCAAAAATTCGATGTTACAGTTGGAATTTCTAAAGTTGGGATAATGGGTTTGGTTGATGTTTTCTTTGGTGTGATAAGTCTCGGTCCTGGTATTGAATTTTGTTATATTTATGTGTTTTCCGTTTCCCTGCCAGGTACCTGGCAGTGCTGCAGATGCAGGACCACGGCCAACTTCATTACTGGCCTTCAACTGTTGCAGCTGCTCTTGTCATCCTGGCTTCTTTAGAAGGCAATCGTGATGTGTCCTGCCAACGAGTAATAGAGGTAATTGCCAAAATTTTTCTTTCAAACTACATTAGACTATAATCATTGTATATTAATGTAGCTGACAATGTGCTACATTTGACAGAGCCTAGAGTGGTTGTTAAAGTATGTATGAGAGCATCTTAGCAGGTAAAGGAACATGTACATCACCATTCTGTTTCTGATTTCCTACTCATCTAAAGACATAGACGGAAGGTAGATTGAGCTGAGCCTTCTAAAGCCTGATCAAGAGGTAAAAAAGAATCTGATTCTTTTGTCAATCAACACGACACTGCAGCAACTTGTATCACTCTATAAAAATAACAGAAATTGTACCTTCTAAATGGTTGCGAAGGATCACACGTAAACTATAAGAACTTTTGCTCAAGAAGCTTGCCATTACTCACCATGAAAATATTCAGGAAAACGAAACTGCTTTTCATGCTTGGGTTCTCAACTTTTTGTTATTGTTTAGAGAAAATGTATTAGGCATACATAAATCTAGTGGATGCTCTGCTAAGGATTGAATTATTGATACCTCTAGCTCTAATGCTTGAATATCTTCGTAAAGTTTGAAGGTTTAGATGGTCGGGTTGATAATTCTGTTTGTTGAAATATCTGCACCATGTGCATCCTTGTTAGAGAATGACCGGTTCTTATATCAGTTACAGTTATAAGACATTCGCGATTCTGAAGATTTTGGTATGATAAGTTTGGTTGGTTTTTTGTATATGATGTCTTTGAGTGATGAGTTTTGATTTTTAAACTTGTTGTGATAAGTCTGGGGGTACACTTACGGAAGTGGGTTTCCACTGAAGATGGATCTTGAAAGGCAAATCCTTTCTCGGTATGTGATTCTTTTTTTTGTCGAATTTTGACTTGTGTTTGTGAATTGTTGTAATGGGTTCCTCTTATTTTTTTTATGATTGAGTATGAAAGTTTTGCATTAGAGCTGTGTTGGTAGTTCTGTCTGTGCAGATCTTAATCTCTTTATACAGTTGTGCTCTTAGGTTGTGCCCAGTTTGTATCGTTATTTCTCACTCATTGACGAAAAACTGATTCAATCAGGAATATGTTGATGGAAATTTGTGTTCTTATGTTCTTTCGTATGCTTATGTCCATCCAGATGGAGAGAGGCAACAATTGCTGAGGTTCAAGCATTAGGGGTAGTAGTTCACTCTCAAGGTCCTTTGTTTGGAGGTGTTCAAAGAAATGTGAAGTCTTCAAGTGACAATGTCCTTGTTTGTTAGAGGTCTTTGGATAGTTTGGTATTTCTTTGTATATCTCATCGCTTTGTTGTTAGCTTTAGTTTAGTGTACAACTGTAATGTTTGAATCTATAATTTTTTATTTAATTGTTATATTATAGTAAATGTGTAATTTTGTTTATAAATATTATATAATACATTTATTAAACAATATTTTATTTTATTTTGTTTTTAGAATTTTTTTTATAACGGCCATTAACCGTGGCCAATTTGTAATCCACAACGGTTATAGTGCACGTGGTGTTAGATCTTAATCTACAACGGGCATGGTCTGTGGTTATATTACAATTGACAACGAGCATAACTCGTGATAGAATATGTGACTTTTTATCACATCCAGATTACTAACGGGCACAATGTCCGTGGTGGATTGTAATCTATCACGGGCATCGACCGTGATAGATGAGCTTTTTTCTACTAGTGGAGGGACGATTAATTAATTAAATACTAAAAAACTAAGCAATGTTTTGTACTTGGTTGTAGAAGTGGGCATTAGGGTTAGGTATTAGGTAGCCGAACGAATTCGTTTGCGTAGTTTATATTGTGGGGTACTGGGCAACTTGGCATACATAACTCGTCGCCCCGAGCTTCTCCTCTAGCTCTTATAAATTCAAATTATTTTATGTGATTCTTTGTTCTTGATGCATGGCAATACCAATAATATCTTATTAGTTAGGGATATCTCGTAACCAGACAAATAAGAAATAAACTCTCACTTGTCCATTATGTTGGAATGTATCCATTTTGAATTTTCTGGGCAAACAGCACCTGCTCAGCTGCTAGCCCATGTCTGATGCTGTGACATTCTGATTACATATACAACTCAAACATGGCTTACCTCATACATATGTGCAATATTAAATTAATTAATACAGACTTGAGAAAAATGTTAGAGGGATGAAATTTTTAGACTATGTTGTAAACCACACGATGTGGCGGTTGATGGTGAGACTTCTTCTTTTAAAACATTAAAAAAAAGCCCAACATACATATACTGCCACATCATGCGGTTTACAACAAATAGTAAAATTTTCCCACATTTAATTATAAGCATCGATCTCATTACTAATTAATAATTAGATGCTTATATTTTATTATGTGAAAATTAAGCATGCACCACTTGGTCAACAAAAGAGGGAGGATAAATATTAATTTAGGATTCCTTTATCGCCAAATATAGAAGCAGGTAATTAAGGTACCACATTATACATAATATAGTAACCGATGAAAGTACTGGACATCCATTAGTGTGGTCCTTAAGGCATGCACATATAGAAATAAAACTCAAGAAACCCTAATGCTTGGGGGTCAAGACAACTAGAGTTGGTAATTAATCGATACCGTTTCTATTTTTTCCTACATATTAAAAGGATCGACTCTCTCACCTATACCATGAACGTAATTTTAGTTCCTCGATCTAGCAGGCTCACTGTAGTGTGGTGCCTCCAAAGAGTTGACTTGCCTGCGTTGACTTCAACTCTGGGTCTAAGGAGCTGATCATATTGATGCCATGATGTTGTTGTTGTTGATGATCTCTCTGTGAGTATCCATGGCCACCATTCATGTTTCTTACCATGCCTCCAACACCAAGAAAATCCAAGGTCAGTTTATCAGACCCTCCAAAATTTACACTCAAATTTTGGTGCAACTTAGCCTCATCATAATTAGGGTTATTATGCTGTTGATCCATTGCACTAACTCTAGTAGCAGTAGTGCCGCTACTAAACCCGCCAAAGTTGTTATGATCCAGTCCCCCGCCTCCAAAAATCGAGGAGTTGCCATTTGCAAGAGAGTTCATTAATCCTTGAAGATGGTTTTCATTTTCCACCTGCTGTGACGATCTCAAGTGGTACTGTTCACCCCCATTAGTACTGTGATGATGATCACCACTAAAACTGACTCCAACGCTCGAGGGCGCTGACACTAGTTGCCTTCCGGATTTAGCTGCTCTTGTTGACGAATTACCTAATCCCCTAAGCAAAGACGAGCTTTCGGTGCTTGTAGTCGAACCCATTTGAGCAGCTTTCTGAAGCAATGCAGTGGCAGACATGTGCGGAGCCATGCCGCCTTCGTGTTGCATCGAATTCCCATAGAGAGATGGTAGAGAACCCGACCCAATTTGATGGTCATGACTCATGCTAAACCCTTGGCCACCGCCATTACCATCACTAAACTGATGATCAGTAGGAGTTATGCTGCGACTGGTACCATTGTTAGAAAAGAAGCTCAGGTTAAAGAGATTGGCAGCGCTATTCGATGAGGGTGAGCTGCTGTTGTTGTTAGGGTTGCTCTGGAGATCAGGAAGTTGCATTAGTCCATGTAATACCTTGTTTGGAAATTGGTGCTGATCTTGAAACCCTTGCTGGTTAGCAATGTCTCTCATGAAGAAATTGGGAGAATTAGGCATGGCTTGTGATCCAAACGAAGACGGATTTGATGGCGGGATGAGGTGCTCAAACTTTGCGCTGCCGCTACTCCCTAACCTCAACACGTTGTTAGGGAGGTGGGTTGAGTTTTGGAGTGAGGGGATTTGGGATGGACCTAAGCTCATATGGTTGTTTCCATAGAGGCTACCGCCCATTGTGCTTAAGCTTGAAGGATGCCTTGCACTTTCCTGAGCCAGTGCATCACAGAAAGCCCTATGAGTGATAAAACTGTCCCGCCTGTATATCACACAAAGAAATGGAAAGGAAAGGCCCCATCATATCATATCATCTCATGGACATATATATATATATAGTAAAATGTATGTATATATAGAAGAACAAGACATATATATCATATATGTGGTGGTGACATGCATATATGATGCATCCAGATAAAAACAATAGTTGAATACCAATCATTTTTATCCGTTTAAGTTAAAATGTAACTAGTGCTTGAGAAAGAAAAAAAGTTATAGTGCTAGAAAGTAATAAACTTGAACAAAAAAAAAAAAAGGCAAGAAAAAGTTTATCTTTCCATGACAATTAGCAGTACTAAGAGCATCTTCAATTATACTTTCTATTTTATGTTAAATTTTAACTAAATGTTAGAAAGCTATTTTAGAATCTCCCTAAAAAAATTCTACTTTAATCATATTTTCTGGGAGTCATAATAAATATGAACTAATAAAAAAATTACTTAAAAAATTATTAAAAATAGTAATTAATGCTAGGAGTTCTTAATTAGTAGCTCCTTTCTCACTCCGTAGATTTAGTATTTCCTTGAAATTTTGCTATCTTAGGAGCATGATAGGGAGTGTGATTGAAGATGGAAATATTCAATCCTTCCTAAATTTTCATTCAGAGAGCCCACTGAGGATACTCAAAATTACTACGGTGAATAAATATACGGAAAAAAAAAAAAAAAAAAAACTACAAGAACAATAACGAAGGCCCGAAAAATTTTCACTACAGCAGGAAACCATGAACGGTCCATTGTTCAATTATTTTTTCACAGAGAATACTTCCGTTAGATAGTCACAAGTCCACAAACCTCGTCACCCTAATCATTGAACGACTGACGTGACTTGTAAAATTTCAAATCAGAATAAGAACTGTCAAGCGATTTTCTAGCTAGAAATATGGTGTTGGACCAGTACTGCGAGGGGGAGAGAGAGAGAGAGCATCTATGTAAATTTGAATGTTGGTCCCATGATCAGTGTACGTTTTAATTTCATGGGAAGGAGTACTTGGACTGGAAGGGAAGAGCTGTAGCTCTGATTGCATGAATCCAACGAGAAAGAGAACAAAACTCATGAGTGACATATACATCCAACTCGTTATATGTGACAACAAAGATAAAGCCTAGCTAGTAGCTCCACCTCCCCTCCCCTCCAGTAACATTAATATTATGCTCTTTCTTCCCCTTCCATAGCTCCACTACTTCCATGTCCATATATATATGTTCTGTTGATAGTCTGTATAATCCGACTCATCATTTTTACTACTACACACATGAGTATCAAAAAGATGAAAGAAAAATTGGCGTTGTTTTCGAGGATCGATAAATAGATGATTTTCTTGTTTTTCTCTCTGTAATTGTGATTGAAACCTCCATATACATACATAACCTTGCAATGCCAGTTTGTCACAGATTTTTCACGTGGAAACAGTCCTGCCAGATTAACCCAGACACAGACACAAGCACACTCATGGGGAAAGACTGAAAAATCGTTTGATTAATTTCAATAAAAGGATCACTATAGTCGTATGCGAGACACCTATTTTTACCCAAGAAGAGAGGATTATTAGTATTACACCCATAAACCTCCGCCTGTACCTCTCGATCAATTTTGAGAAGATCTCCAGAATGAATGTATGTATCGATGAATGAATGATTGAAAATCAACAATAATTAGGAGCTAGATACTAAATCAAGTAACTACTAATTAATTTACCTTGAGAATAGAGTGCCACAGTCGCATCTGTATTCCCTAGTTCCGCACGTTTTAGAATGAGCCTTCCAATCCGATTGAACGGCATACCTCTTGGAGCACTTGTCGCACTTCCACTTCTTCTCGCCGTGCTTTCTAGAGTAGTGTTTTTTTATGCCGGTGAGGTCTCCGAGAGCTCGAGAGGGGTCATGGTGAACGCATGACGGCTCCGGACATAGATAGACCTTGCGTCTAGGTTCTTTGTTAGTCTTCTGCTTGAGCTTCCAAGGCAGGTTGTGTCCTCTTCTGTGGAGCTGTAGGTTTTGCTCCCTTTGGAACCCTTTGTTGCACACCTCACATATGAACCTGTTTGTCGCCATTAGCGTCTTGGGAGATAGTGCTATAACCTCCGCATCTGGATCTGCTAGGGAAAAATGCCAAAAAAATTAACATTTTTTCTTTGTTGAAATTTTAAAGAATACCCAAATTATAATAAAAGAAAACTTATGATATTTAACAAAAAAAAAAGAAAAGAAATCAGAGCCAGATAGAGGAGTAAGTTCAAAGAAACTAACAACCATTAATTCATCAAACCAAAGAGTTCACAAAGGTTCGTTTAGGGTTTCTTTTTTGAAATCTTATATAAATCGATAAATGTGTACAAAGAATTGATGATCATGAAAAGTAAAGAGGTACTTGCTTGGATTTCCTGGTTGATTTCTCCTTTTCTTTTGAGGTGGTGGGGCTGTGCCTGTGGCTGCGGCGGTAGCATTTGAGGAAGGCGGAAGGATTGACGAAGTCATCTGGCTTTGGTTTTCTTCTCTGCTACTACTTCCAAAGAATGGCATCGATGAAGAAGCAGCCGCCATATATATATATATATATGGTAAAGAAAACAATTAATATTACTCTTAATTATTCAGCTTGTTTTGAGCTATACGCACTCAAAAACGATCAAAGACTCAAGGTACTATATAACCGACAACCCACAGAAAAAATTTAGACTCTTAGCTCCTCGAATACTAGAAACATAGTAAACCTAGCTATATAGCTAATTAAGTAAAATAAAAATTCTCTGAGTCAAACGCTCTTTTGCTAGGTAGCTACAGCTTCAGGGATGCAGAGAACAAATAATTATGAGGAAAAAATTAATAAGCATCTTCTCGGACGACAGCTAAAATCCGGAAAAGATGAAGATATATATACACACAGAGAGAGAAGACGCAGAGAGTCAAGGCGGCCTTTGTTCAGCTTCTTCTTTTTCTTCCTCTCCTTAGCTAGAGAGAGAGAGTTATCTAGTTTTTTTTTTAGATGATGATATAAAAAATAAAACTCATCTCATAAAACGCTCTAATGCGTTCCTCTCATTTAATGTCATGCACATACATGCACTCTTTCTCTCTCTTACTGTAAATTAAAAATATTTACCAATATTAAAATTGAAAAAGAAATTAAAATATCGGGGATGAATAGAGAGGGAGGGAGAGGAGGGGCGGTGGGGTCGCTGTTCATGCTGCTCACGCAGCCTAATGTATGTCGTTTTATGCGGGGACTGTAAAATGGGGGCCACCTTTGGTCTCTGTAGGCCTACCTCTTCCCATCTCTCTCTCTCTCTCTGTCCTCTTGTTTCGTGTCTTCTACCCTTTACATTCAGAAAACCCTTCATTCTGCACCCATCATATATGCCTTCGCTCTCTCTCTCTCTCTCTCTCTCTCTCTCTCTCTCTCTCTCTGTTTCACTTTTAGGATATACAAGTATATATGTTAAACTAATTAAGAGAACTTTGAACAGCCAAATTTTCTCAATGAACGATGTTGTTGGAGTGAAATACCCTAAAGCCAAGTTGAGACAATTACAAGATTGGATGTAATTCGACAAGTATTGGAAGGCCATACCGGGTCAGATCTCATATTAGGTTGGCTAGTATATGAAAAGTTCAATTACAATTAGATGTAGCATTTTAAGAGTTGAAATTGTAAACAAATCAAAGAAACACGATAAACTGATTGCAATTAAGCTTATGACAAATAGGAAAATAATCTTAATCCTTATTTGTAGAAACAAGAAAGCAATAATCAAATAGGAAAACAATCTTAATCCTCATCATAATAGTAAACTTATGACAAAATATTAAAGATATCATAATAGTAAACTTATGACATAAAATGTCAAAGATACCATATACCATAACATAAAAATAAAACAAATTACCCACTTACTAACTTTTCTAACAAAAATTGACTTTGCAGTAAAATTACATTTTATCATCAGACTGATTTACAGAGAAATTTCGTAAGTGACTTAGTCCACACTGATTAATGAAGTAAGTGTTAGAATTCCTCTGTCCCACATCGGCCACAAAGCTTGAGAACAAGCCATTTAAATAGAATTACCCCACTCTAACTAACACCGAGGCCTTTTGTATTAAAACCTCACACCTAAACCTCACACCTGACGGATTGAGCAGGTGCCCAAGTGGGGACATTATCGGTGTTGTTGGAGTGGACCCATGGCCTGTCTACCTAAAATTTAAGAGTAAGTACTTGCGTCTATCTATGTCATAACCAGACGAAATTGATTATACCACGAACATCAAAATTCTTTTCCGTATAAAGGAAGATGATCGACGGTTCCTTTGACAGATATTTCTTGTGGTAATTAGAAAATAAGATATTATAATTGTTGGTACCATATATTGGGCCTCGTTTTTGGGCCTCATTTCTAAGCCCATGATTTATGTAAGAAGGTAAGGAACCCTTATTCTATAAAAGAGGGGCCTCACCTTCAGAGAAAGGGGAAGAGCCATACATCCAAGGAAACAAATTCCCACATCCAGAGAGCCTCACAATAAGATAGAGGGCAATACCCTCTCAGCCAAACAGGGAGCAAAATGGCAAAGGTTGCATCCACAGAGAGTTTCATTACCGATCTATTGTAATCTATACATTCATACAATAAATGGAATCAACATCAGTGTGGACGTAGCCCAAACATTGGGGTGAACCACGATACATCTTTGTGTGATTCACGGTCGGATTTACGTTGGTCCAAGATCCTCCGGATTTTGTGCATCAACATTTGGCGCCGTCTGTGGGAAACGACACAAAAAGCTATGTCGGTTCTCTTTCATTTTTTTCATCTTACCACTGTGAATTTGCTTAACCCAAGAACTCAGAACCTCCCTTTTTGGGGCTTTTCCAGAAAACCTTTGCAGACTCTGTGCAGTTTAAAAACCCTCCAAAAACCCATTTCTCTCTATCTCGAATCTTCCGCCCTATTTTTCTCCCAAAAACTACCCAATTTAAAGACAAAGACAAAGACCCATCGCCTTCACTATCATCTGCAACTTTGGCAACAACACAGCTACCACCATGTTTGTCGGCCATCTCGGAAACCTCCAGCTCTCCGCCGTTTCCATCTCTCTCTCCGTCATCTGCACCTTCTCATTCATCTTCATGTCGCTTCTTTTCATGTTTCTAACTCTAGATCTCACTCTCTTTCTCTTACTCTCTCAAAATTCTTCATCTACATAACAGTAAGGAATGCTCTACTGCCGTGAGTGAAACTCAAGGCCGTACCTGAAGGAAAGTCTAGAGAAAAGACATGTCGTTTAGCGTGGAGTTTGCGCCTTCTCCGGAGGAACACGATGATGCCGACAACGAACGGCTGGATTTGGTCGATCCAGCGGCTCTAAACTGGTCACCTTCGAGCGGGACTTTTCTCAGAGCGGCGGTGACTCTCAAGGATCAGTCTTGGGTTTTCAGCATTCCAGTTGAAAAATGAAAAAGCATGGATGGCAGCTTCTTTACCATCCTCTCTAGGTGGTGGCTGTTGCCGTGTTTCTGGCGCTGGCCTTTGCTTTCTATGTGTTCTTTGCTCCTCTTGTTGGAAGGAAGATTTTTCAGTATATTGAGATGGGTTTATACGGACCACCATCGATACCAGTTGCGGGGATCCCACCTTCTACGAATAACACGACCACCAGTGGAAAACCAGGAAGAAGATAAGTTTTCTTATAATAATTCTATTATTAACTTTATTATTATTCCGAGATTGGCTGGCCATCTGTCAAAAGAAAAAAGATAAAGAGAGCTTTACTTTTCCTTTTCAGCAGACATCATTATGTTTTCATCATTTATTTAATATGTTATTGATATATGTTATGATGAAAGTAACCTCTATTATTGAAACGTTATGATGAAATCTTGATCATGAAGAGACAAATACAACCTACTATCCCAGAACAGCCCCACGAAGGAAAAAATAATATATATATATATATATATATTGTTGATGCACAAAATCAGTGAGGACTTTGGTACAACAAAAAGTGTTAAGTTTGTGACCTTCGCTAGATTGCTCCGGTCACTAGTATGGATAAGTATGTAAATAGATACGGACAAGGAAGCAAACACAAGATGTACGTGGTTCACCCAGATTGACTACGTCCACGGAGTAGAGGAGTTCTCATTAATTGTGAAGGGTTTACACAAGTATATATGTTCAAGCTCTCCTTTAATGAGTACTAGTGAATGATTTAGTACAAATGACATTAGGAAATATTGTGAGAGAATGATCTCTATTTATAGAAGAGAGTTTCTAGTTTCATTCTGACATTGACACGTGTCGTGTTGTGATTGGCTTCTGATGTTAACATGTGTCGCGCTATGATTGGCTTCTGATGTTGACACGTGTCGCGCTGTGATTGGCCTCCTGGTTGTAGGGAAACTCTTCTGGGTTCTTGACGGTATAACGTTGACCGGTACTCAGTAGTTTCGGGATTGGTCAAGTATGGTACAAACAGTGCTCTCCTAAGTTCCCGAGTGAGGGAAACTCCTCGGTTGGGGACTTGCAAGATCCAAGCCATTGAGTAATCACGAAACTTTTAACTACCGAAGTGTGGTATCATTTTCACTTGCTTTATCTGTCTCATACGTAGATGTGGCATCTTCTCTAGAAGTACTTTTCCTCCATCCAGGGGTGGTATCTTTAACCGATGAAGATGCACAAGGTAATGTATCAATTTCACTTGAAGCTTACTTGTAGTTTCGAGCTTGGTCAAGTGCGATACAAAACCCTATAGTAGGAGTCCCCCAAGTCGCCGAGCTAGGAGATTTGCCGAAAGAGGTAACAGACAAGGTAAGCAATCAGACTTCCAAGCAAGCAACCTGGATCAGAGGTTCGACTTTGGCTTCCGGTTGATTATTCTCCTTCTCCTTGTGTCGTAAACAGCAACAAGGATAAGGAGAAGCAAATGGAGAAGAGATGATATGAGATACTTTTGCTTTTGAAGAAGTAACTTTCCACAGGCTTATTCTTGAACTGGGCTGAAGGGTTTTCTGGTTTCCTCCAGAGTATAAGGCCAACTCAAGAATTTGAGGGTCAAAACAAGCCCATCAAATCAAGAGTGCGTTCGACCTTGATGATATGGGATACTTTTGCTGTTGACGAAGTAATAGATGAATCGACATGTGTTCTGTTGCGCTTGTCTCCACATGCTTCCTTGTATCCTTCTCACTTAACCTATATGTTCCTCAGGCAGATGTGGTATCTTTTCTGGAAGCATAAGATGTTGAAGATGAGTACTCGAGAGCAATGCCAGGTAAGTAATCGGGTAAGGGGTTCCAGACAGTCAGTTTCTGACTGGAAGCTTGATTCCAAGTGCTAACTAATTGCTCTCTTTCTCCTTGTCTTGCAGGTAAGAACAATGGCAAAGGAAAAGACAGGGAAAAAGCATGATATGGGATAATCTTGCTTTTTACCTTGATGATATGAGATACTCTTGCTCTGGTGTGGCTTGTTTGTATAGGTATTATTGGGGGGGAAGAAAACTGAGTATTTCGAGAGGCTTCGTTGGGAGTGCCCTCTCAGATATGAGGAAGGGTTGAGCATTTTTGCAGGTCTGCCTGCCCATGAAGGATGAAGGTCGACATATATAGGAGTTTCCCTAACAACAAGTGGTAATGCTATTCATTTACCCTTCTTGGTCGTAGTAATGTAGTGGGAGCTGCAAGCTTCACGTGTTTTAACTTTGTCAGAGCACTTTGAAAATGTGGTATGTGGTATCTGGAAAGCTAATGTTGTGTGTGAAGATTGCAGACAAGCTTTATCCAAGGAAATCTGGCTTTCGAAGTTCAGAGAGCGATGCCTCTTCGATTTTCGAACAGGCAATCTTGTCGGGGATCTGGCTCTCGAGATTCAGAGAGCGGTGCCTCTTCAATTTTTGAGAAAGCAATCCTGTTGGGAGTCTGGCTCTGTTGGGAATCTGGCTTTTGAGATTCGGAGAGTGGTGCTTTTTCAATTTTTGAGAAAGTAATCATGTTGGGAGTCTGGCTTTCGAGATTCG